CATAAAGGGGTAAAAAAATATTAAAAATGCAAATGCCAAAATATAGCCCATTTCAACTGCTATGCTAAAGAAGCCTTCCAGTAGATATGAAGGCTATGCTCAAACCATATGCACCAAATAGGAGCACAAATTGCACTTTACTAAAATTAGGTCCAAGGAACTATGACAACTGTCAGAATATGTGAATTTATGCCACCAATAAATAGCAATTATGTGTAATCCCTAAAATTAAGGGATTAGGATTAGTAATTATTGGGCAGATTTCCTTTTATTAAGATCAGGTATCATTGGGTAGATATCTCCTGATTTAGAGACTTTATTTCAGGAGATTTTTACCTTAATTAAACAATTAGTTTGTTTCTTTTAAACACCTATGTATTGTTTCAAAAGCATGAATGAGAGAATAATTAATTCCAGCATCCTACTACTGTTTTATACCATGGGAATGATGAAAAAGAAAAGGAAAAATTGAAACAAAGAAGTCCAAGAATTTGATCTAAAGAGCTTGGAAAACTAAAATATTTTCTAGGAATTGAAGTAGAATACTCTACCCAGGAATCTTTATTCCCAACAAAAATAACATAATCGATTTGTGTGAGACAAAGACTATTGGATGCAGACCGCAACAAACTCCAATGGACCCCAAATCACAAAACTGAGTAAATTTGGAGATGAACCAGAAGTAGAAAAAGGATGTACCAAGGTTGGTTGAAAATTAATATATTAGCGCATACCCGACCAGGATTGCCCATTCGGGTAAGTGTAATAAGTCAATTTATGCTGAACCAAAGGAGTCTCACCTTCAGTGCCTACAGATTCTACATTACTTAAAAGGCACTCCCAGAAAGGGAATCCTATTCAAGAAGAATTGAAAAATGAACTTGAAGCTTACACCGCCGCCGACTATGAAGGATCTCTAATTGATAGAAGATCGGAACTACTGGATATTGTACTTTCCTGGGTGGAAATTTAGTAACTTGGAGAAGTAAAAAACAGAATGTAGTGTCTAGATCATCAGCTGAATGTAAGAGTTTCAAAGCATTGCCAAGGAATATGTGAATATTATGGATAAAAATTATTCTGGATGAGTTGAAAGTTGTTGGAGGGTCCCAGAAACTGTATTGTGATAATAAATCAGCAATAGAAATGCCAATAATCCGGTTCAACATGACCGGACAAACACTTGAAATAGATAGACACTTCATCAAAGAATAAAGTAGACGAAGGTCTATTATGCATGGCGTATGTCCCATCCAGGCAACAAGTAGCTGATGTGTTAACAAAAAGGTTCAATAGCCCTATCTTCCAAGATCTTATAAGAAAGCTGGGAATGACCAAAGATTTTATTCCTCATGAGGGGGCGTCAGATATGTGAAATTTAGCGCACAATTAATATAGCAATTATGTGTAATCCCTAAAATTGAGGGATTAGGATTAGTAATTATTGGGTAGATTTCCTTTTATTAAGATCAAGTATATTGGGTAGATATCTCCTGAATTTAGGAGACTTTATTTCAGGAGATTTTTTTACCTTAATTAGACAATAGTTTGTTTCTTTTAAACACCTATGTATTGTTTCAAAAGCATGATGAGAGAATAATTAATTCCAGCATCCTACTACTGTTTTACAACAACCAAAATTCACAAAAAAAGACTGAATAATGTATTCCGTAAAAAAAACAGCAAAAATAATGTGGGAATAAGATTAGCAACCAATCTGAACAATAATCATGGCCTCTAAGCCTATTATATGTCATTAGCATTTATTGATACATGAACAAAAGTCCAAATGAATTACTTATCACATAGGAATGTTTGAATTTCGTAAGAGCTTATTAGGATGGAAATAAATTCTTCCTACTTTTATCCCCACACCTAATTGTAACCGTTGTCTTTCCCCCTAGATATTTGTCTATATACCTTTTTGTACAAAGTGTGGTTCTAGATGACAAACGTGGTCTCGTTTCTAACTGTGAATTCATAATACGTTAGTTCTAGTTGGACAAATTAATGGTTAGTGGCTAAATAAATGGTGATCAAGGAGAAAATGAACGAGTATCCTTGGGCCAAAGTTCATTCTTGCAGTAAATAGTGTATATCTTTATCTAAGAGAGATTAGGGTAATTCGGATCCGTGCATTTGTGGTCGTGTTTAAGTGTCATCTATAAATAATACTCTCTAATGTATAAGTTACACACACATTCTCTCCTATGGTTCTCATATTCTTCTATCTCAACATTGGAATCTAGAACCCATGAGAAAACCCTAATTTGCTATCCAATGCCATACCAAAATAATTTTTGGAAACCATGTTCTTTTCTGATTTCCTTCTTTACCATTGGGTTTTCTTTTTCCAATGATCCTTCACCACTGTCAACCACTACTATTTTTGGGTGAGCAAGTTTTCACAGGGAACCACAACTATTTTTGTTTGCCTCAGCTAATCTACTCATGTATGAAGTTTGTGGCTCCAAATGACACAGGAGGGACTCTCAAGTGCCCAACACCACCATGCATGCGTTACCTCCAAACCTCTTCTGCAATTGGCACTTCAATCACCAACGTTATCCCTACACATACTTCCATATTTTGGCCTTGCTTTGCCTTTTTTTTAGCTTCCATTAAGCCACCTACCACTTTGTACAACCATATTTCTGTAATACTGTGTTCAAGAATTTCAGTGTGAAGTTTTGAGATCACAACACAACAAATAAGAATTTTAACTTCGGGACTAATCTTATTGAACCAAAACACTCTTAAGGACTTTTTGTTTTCAAACTAGGAATCTTTTTGATTTTCAAAGAAAATAGGTGTAATCTCAACTATCAAATGAGTCCTTTAGTTATAATGAGGAATTTTAATAAGCATTAACGAATTATGAGGGCGAAACAATAAAATTTACGAATGATATATTCCGTAGTAACATAGCCAAACACAAAACATTGCATTGAAAGAAAAAAAAACAAAAAAAGTCACATAGAAATTATTATATTTCCGTGTAACATAAAAAGAGTCATAGATAAGAAAAGGAGTTATTGGACGGAGGAGTCATAGAAAATATAATGAAGATAAAGAAACATATTCTTCTATAGAACTGCATAGCCATGAATGTGACAAAATTTGGTACACAAGAAGTGTGTAAGGGTTCATGACAAACTAAAATACTAGAAATATTTTCCTATTTATAGTACACTTAAAACTAAAGACACCTATTGTAGATATTGAAAGGTGTCTTCAGAGATCTCCCTTTTATTATGATTCTGCCACTTGCCCTGTGCCTTGTTTAGCTTTAAACTGCTTCTTATAGCAACAAACTGTCAACTTTTCATTTTTATTTTTTATTTGAAAACTTTTTTCCAATACCTATTGGAGCCTTTTAACCATTTTTATCAAAAACTATTTTTTCAAATTTCTAGAATCACTCTTCTATATGTCATTTTAAATTGAAAACTTAGTTTTCGCTAGACAACATAGACTCTCCTATGATGTCAAACAATAATCCTTCAAAGGACTCCAATATGCCACTAAAACCGCCTTCTTGAGTCAATTGAAAGGATGCCGTTTTAAATTTGTGAATGATATACCTCTTTACAAATTGTTTAGCTTTAAATTGCTTCTTATAATAGAAACAAACTGTCAACTTTTCATTTTTATTTTTCATTTGAAAACTTCTTTTCAATACCTATTGAAACCTTTTAACATCATTCTTATAAAAAACTATTTTTTTTTAATTTCTAGCATCATTCTTCTGTTATATGTCAATTTTTTATAAAAAAATATGTTTTCACTAGACAACATAGTCTCTCCTATGATGTCAACCAATAACTGAATAATCAAATGACTCCAATATGACCCCTAAAAATGCCTTCTTGAGTCAGTTGAAGTAGGCCGTTTTAAACTTGTGAATGACATACCTCTTCACAAACAAATTGTTTCAACCCTATTGACCAATTGAAAAGTTTCTTAGAGGCTCTCATGTTGACCAGATTTGAAACATGGTTGACTCATATGGCATATGTTCTAATTTGAGAGGCATGTTAGATAGCATCTATAACAACAAATTAGGGTTGGAGTTATGATAATTTTAGGTATTTAATTTATTCTAATGTATTTATGATTGGTCCTGTTGTACCTTAATATGTGATTATAAGTAAGACTTTTATGTGAACATACAAACTCAACATTCACTTTGTGACAGAGAACAAGTCTAATAAAACAATTAATGCATCAAAACATTTAACAGAAAGAAAATGGTGAACTTACTTTACTCTTATTGAAGTATAAAAGAATAAATAAAGAGATCCCGTAAACTGTATCTGACCATATGTTGGCAAATGCTCTGCGATTTTCCTGTCTCCGCTCTTCCCTCAACTCTAATCTGTTGGGGCAACAAATAGAATGGCAAAAAGGAGAAAGAGTATAAAACAATCAAAGGTCATCTTTAAATAATTACTCTTACTAAATCTAAATACCATGAAAACTAATCAACAAGTCCAGGACTATATTGATTCTCCTTTTGCTCAAAGCCTTCACCAGTTCATAAGTTCTTTATAAACAGAATTCAGGTAAAGAATGATGCAAAGATTTTTTAAGATTAGCGAGAGACATGTTAAACAACAGGCAGTTACAGTGCAGACTCTAGCATGATTGCTTTTGTGGACTTTGTTTTTAATTCAATATTCTTATAATACTCATTCTGAATACAGCTATAGTAATCAACACAAGAAAAAGGATGAGCACCATTCAAGACAATAAGGCAAATGAAAGAGGGATCGATCTTACGCTTTATGTCTTAATTCCCACCAAACCTCATCATCAGAAAGAGGTGGAGATTTACCAATCTCGACCTCAAGCTCAAACCGTCCCCTCTCAGTTTTTAGTTCTTCAACTATTTCAAGTTTTTGATATCTTCTTACATCAAGCATTTGTGCTGCAAGTGGTACAGTCTTCACATATCTATCGATAGCAAAAGGTTTCTTTAATGGTTATGCAAACATTGTCAATTCAAGAAGGTAAAACTAACACACACGTTAAGGATGAATAATCTGAAAAACTTTTACTCAATTACAAAGAAAGCAGAAGAAAATGATAAAATCATAGTTGTCTGTCTAAAATAAAACAGAATAATTCACAATGGCACCCCTTGAGATTTTCTCATATTACACTTACACATCCTGTTTTTTCCACCTTTACATTTGCCTCCCTCATCAGATGTAAGTGTAATAGTTTTTGAACTTAAGGGGATGTATATGAAATGTAAAAGGGCTGACAATGTATCGTTTTAAAACTAAGGGGAGATTTGTGTAGGATTTTTAAAAAGTCGGGGTATCAGTGTAATTCGAACAAGCCTTAAAGGGTGCCAATGCGATTTATTCTAAAGAAAAAACATGAGCTACATATAAAATCAGCAAAACCTCCATATAACCAATACTGGGCACTAAACAAAAATATCATAATACTTTTCCTTATCCACTTTTATCTTAACTATTGTCAGACAACTTCTGAAATTTTTAGCAGTGAGATGAATGCTCATTAATGATTTTATATATCTGACATTCCCTACCATCCATACAAGCGTCATTAAACATGAAATGTGGACAATCAATGAGTCCTCTAATATCTGTCCCAAATGTTAACTATGAAGAATCAGACCTGCTACCATTTGATCAGAGACTTTGATATCACGTGAAGGACAATGAACCTTCCCAGTAGGGACCCACAAATGGTTTTGTATCTCTAAAATTGATAGCAAAGCCTCTCTGAAACAGTGGCTGTGAGTTTGATCCTTGACCCCCTTCTTCATAATAAAGTTAAACTTCAGCACAAGGGAAAGTGGGTTCGTGCATACATTTCAAGCCCAAAAGGCCTCTCTAGTAGAAGGTCTAAATGGTCATGCTACAGATATAGAACCGTTATTGAGCATCTTCCCTTATAACTGAGACTATTGGGAGAATTGATCCCTGACACAACTAAGTTTGTCTAGTTGAGAACAAATAATAGTAGGATCAATACTACATTATGTGTTATGCTGCTAGTCAAAGTGGTTTCCATTCAATAGCACAATGTTTAAAAAGAAGGAATTATATTATGGCAAACCACTATCTTCTGAAGATCTATATTCTTTGGCACCGGATTATGATATTAGCCATATCTACTATATTGGCCTCTTCTTTTCTCAGACTGTATTTATGGGTTCCTACTTGGTAGCTGAACCAGTGACACATGATATTCCTGTGCACATTGAGTTTCCTCAGCATGGCCTTCGGCATCCTATTACATCTCAGATTAATCGCACTACTCCACTATTCTGTCTCATTCTGTGTACTAAAATATTAGCATTGCCCACTCGAGTTCTATATGACGGGCAACTCATTCGTAAAACATTGCCTTGTCCTCCAAACAGGCCATACTTCTACAGAACAGCATGCACAGATACACAGTCACAGGTTCATCTGTTTGTGCACAACTCTTGAAACATTAAGAAAAACAAGATAATATACAGTCAATAGAAAAACATTTCATATATTTAGAAGAAAAACATGATAAACAACACATACCTGTCTAAAAATGGCATAAGTATGTAGTCATGAACCAGAAAATCCATTGCCCAAGGTACAATAATCAACACTGCCAAAAATTTTGCCTGTAATAATAATTTTGGTACGTGGAATTGAATTACTAAATAGAGAATATATTAAGAGAGAACCAGAAAATCATTCATTTGGTATGACAATATTAGGAAGCTGGATAATGTCTGAAAAGGAGAATTGAAAATTTGACATCAATGATTTAAATGCTTCCAAAAATAGTTGAATATAAAGATCAAACACACAATGTATCAGTTCAAATCATGCCATTCCAACTTCAGTTGCAGCTGCTGGGCTTAAATCCGTGCTTTCCCCACCCTTCTTATACAAGGCTAAGCTATTAACTAAGTGAGGGTTTTGGTTGAGAAGAAAAATCAGACCACTTAAATGAAAAGCATTTCGTGAACATAAGGAAATGCACTAACCGAATTTGATGAGGCATACTGGAAAACACGATCTTCATAAAGCATGTCCTCATCTTCTCCTCCAAAAATCAAATACCTAGCGGACTCTACCAACCCCTTGTCGGCGGGAAGATCACCGGAATCATCTCGCACATTATCCCTATAATCCTTCATGCCCTGCTCCCAATCCGAAGAGGAAGTGTTACCCTCCCGACTAATCCCGTCCCCATCCAAAAGCCAGTCTTCCCATTTCCTATACTCTTGGTTCTTCCTATCTTCTTGGGCCTCTCTTAACTCCACAATTGCTTCAGCTCTTTGCTTCCATGCCTCAAACTTCTCGCCCTCTGATAACTCTTGTGTGCTCTCAGCCTCGCCCGCAGCCACGACCTCAGCCTCAGTATCCACCATATCCTCGTCCCTCAGACCAAGCCAATTCCCATCATCTTCGAAAAAGAATTTCTGCCACCAACTGCTCTTCCTTGAATGCCCACTATGCTTTTCCGCTTTTGAAATGAATCCATTAAGCCGCCTCGTTTTGCTGCCCAACTGAATCACAAAGTTGGATGAACCATGCGAGACGAAAGAGTTCAAAAGCAGTTTCTGATTAAAAAAGATTAAGCTGTCGCATAAAACGGTTGAAGAGCTCATGAAGAACATGAATATATGCCCACATTTTTCAGTTTCCCGAGTGAATGCAAAACATACTGGTTGGTAATGTTCTGCTTTAGCACAAACTCAGCCAAGCCAACCTCTCCAATTCATATTATCCTCATCTACTCTATTCTATATTCTCAATGTCAGGCCTTTTTGCCTTTCTTTATTTATTTATTTATCTAATTATACGACCTTACAATAAGAGCGTTACCCCCAGCATAGTATTGGGCATGGCTATAGTTCTGCCACGTTCTATCCCATCTCTCTCTTCACTTCTTCCTTTAACCATTTACATGTAAAACATCATTTTCATAATAAAAATATCATATGATAAGAAATTAAAAAAAATGAAATATTCTAGTTATTCATTTCTTTTATAATTATTAATAATTATTAAATGATATCAGCAACAGATGAAAATTTGCTAAACACTTACTTTGTTTAGTTATATATAGGTAAGAGTCAAATGCCCACAAAATATTTTCTGTATAAATATTTGAACTCAAATATATTTTCTGATTTTTTAAAAAATTCTAGTATAGTATTAATAAAAGTAATAAGATGTAAATATAAAATTCTTTTTGGGGTTTATTTATTTAATCAATGTAACAAAATAAAAGATGAGTTAAAAAAAATAAAAGAAATAAAACAAAACAAATTTTCCTCTATTTTGAAAGTATGAAATTATCAATTAAAAAAGTTAAGAAGGAGACTTTCTAATATATTACCAGATGAAACTTTGCAAATATGAAGGTA